CCCAGCACTCAGAATACCTGTTCAAAGTGTATATTAAAATGACAAAGCAAAGCGATGATGTTCTCTAGGAGACTTTTGCTTCCTCCCCTTTCCCAGGTGCTGCCTTACCTGTTTTACAGGCTGATAAATGAATGCAGTGGCCCACTGCTAATCTCTCTACAGACTTGGGCTGTAGAGAATTGATTGTACAAACTTCAGGGAGTCTTTAAGCTGCATTTCTGGCAATTTGCTCTTATACCATCTTGCACAGCAGTACCTTCAGGTACAGCATTATTGAAAAGAACCCTCTGAAAAAGGAAAATGCTTTCACTTCTCTGATTTCTGACCCAGTTATGTAATTTTTCTCAGTGATGTGTTAAATGCTTTGTGCACTTACTGTAAACTACAGCTGATAAACTACAGCTGTGTGGGGTGTTGAAATCTTTGACAGTATTTCTAATTACAAAGAACATTTTTCTGGGAAATTTTTGCAGGGCAGAATATCAAATTTCTTTTTCTCACTATAGGTTGTCATTCCCAGATAACCACCTAGAAAAGATACATAGCTTTGAGAAGAGCAAATGCGTTTTTCACCAAAAACACAGCCTCACACACAGTTAAGAAACTTTCCTGTAAATTAGTTGTTTCATTCCAATAGGGGCAGAAAAAAGATTTGTAGGAACAGGACTGAACCACTGTCAATCTCTTTTCCCTGAAACATCTAAATAAGGAACCAGTGCTGGCTTTTTCTCACCTTCCTCTGCAAGCAGAAGTGCACCTAGCAAAGGGTTCAACTTCAATATAGTGGAACTGCATTTCCCTGAAACCCCTTTAGAAAGAAAATGGACGGTTCTTCGAGAGGCATAATTGACCATTCTTCTTTGAGATGCTTTTGGCAGAGGTCTTTGCATTCACTAGTCCTGCCACTTAAAAAATCTGATCTTTGCCTATCATATTCACATGCAGACATTTATAGTAAAAAAAGTTAATTTGAAAGGCTTTTCGTACTCATCGGAGGTTGGGATTGTTATGTTTTAATTCTTTGTTTGGTTTTGGCAAAGGAAGAGGGAAAAGGGGAATGAAATAAATGTCTGGTTATGGATTGTAGTTGTCATTCTTAAACATAAAAATGCCCAGTTTTATTGCCATGTGTAACCCTTTCAACCCCTTTTCTTTTTTTAACCCATCCAGCTCCTACCACCTTTCTGTTGTTCAGTCAGAAGAACGCGATTAATCGCATGGTGGTAGATGAGCAACAGAGCCCAGATATCATACTCCCCATCCACAGCCTCCGCAATGTCCGAGCCATTGATTACGATCCCCTGGATAAGCAGCTCTACTGGATTGACTCTCGGCAGAACATCATCCGGAAGGCACAGGAAGATGGCAGCCAGGTATCCTGAGGGGGTGGAATTGCTGAATGTTTGGCATGCCTGTGCCAAACAATGACTGGTTGTATGGGGATAATTTAGATGCACAGACTTTGCCATAGGTTACTGTCCCTTGGTAAAACGACTGTAATCTGGAGTTTTCTGCAGTCCTCAGTCAGTAAATCTGGCAGGTGCAGCAATAAATAAAATAGGGAAAACCAAGGCCAGCTTGAGCATACTGTTATTCCCAGCATAATTATTTGCTCAACACTGTCTTTTGTCTGGAAGCTGTTTGAAGCCTATATTTGAGATATGAAACATGGAAGGGAAGGTTCTTGGGAGAAATCGGGGGTGTGATGAAGGTATGTAAGCAGAGTGCAGGGGTAGATCCTCTGAAACGAGGAGGCTGGAACTGTGTGAGCACACTGCTGTGTCTGGAGCAGATAGGAAGAGAGTTATTGTAAATCACTGGGACATAGAGTGACTAGATTGAACTTGTAAAATATGTAGCAGTCTTGGGAAAATGTATTTGACTGGAGAATACAGAGAAAGTAGAGTAGGGTAGAAGGCAAAAGTTAATAGACGCTTTGGTGGTGCAACCCTGACTAGAGGTCAGACACCCACCCAAACCACCCTGTCAGTTCCCTCCTCAACTGGACAGGAGAGACAAGATACAGCAAAAGGCTCATGAGTTGGGATGAGGGATTACAGTCTGTTCATCACACTTTGTTCTGCCACTGTTTTCTCCTCATGGAGTCTTTTCCCTGCTCCACTGTGGGGTCACACCCACCAGAGAGTCTTCCATTAACTTCTGCCTCCAAAATAAGTCCTTCTTATGGGCCATGTTTGCTTCATGAACTGTTCCAGTGTGAGTTCTCCCCACAGGGTGCAGTCCCTCAGGAACAGGCCCTGGGTCCCTCACAGGGACATACTTCTTACCAGGAAACCTGCTCCAGTGTGGGCTGTTCTCTCCGTGGGGTTTCCCATAGAGTCACAGCCTCCTTTGGGCATCCCCCTGCTCCAGCAAGGGCTCTTTCAGGGACTGCAGTGGATCTGTGCACCCCTCATGCCCTCCATTGGCTGCAGGGGCACAGGGGGAATCCTGGAGCAGCTCTTGCCCCTCCTTCCTCACTGCCATTGGTGTCTGCAGGGCTGTTCCTCTCACAGTCTTATTCCATTCTTCTCTGACTGCGATTGCTTCCTCCCAATAACTTTTCTTCCTCTTAAATATGTTATCCCAGAGGTGTTGCCAACATCCCTGATTGGCCCAGCCTTAGCCGGTGATGGGACCATCCTGGATTCGGTGGCATTGGCTCTGCTGGGTATGGGGGAAGTTTCCAGCACCTTCTCAGAGAACCCATCCCTCTAGTACTTCCCCAACCAAAACTTGGCCATACAAACCCAATATGCAGGTTTAGTGAGGTTAACTGTGACCAGTGACTGCTTATTTGATTTTGCATTTTAAAATAGAGCTTTTCTTCCTGATTTTTTGAATGTGGGATGCGTGAGAGACTAAGATGAGCAATACAACACAAGAGAGGTGCTCTATTCAGTTGAAATTTAAGAGTGTGGTTTCTGGTGGTGAGTGTGGTAGTAGTTGTATCCTGCTGTATGCCCTTCAGCCTTAACTCTTAACTTAGCAATGCTTTTAATTTTGGAATATCTAAATAATACTCAAAACCACCATGTTTTTGCCAGCTCCAGCAGAATAAACAAATGGAAGACTTGCAGGCACAGCATTTCATAGAGGTGACAAACCAAATAAAGTTAGGCAAATTTTCTGGTGAAGTTTAATTTGGGATAAGAGGGTAGAGGTTGCTCACTTCATAACCGTGGCTTCCAAAATGTTTATGTAGGCCATGTTTACTGATTTATTAATCCTCTTCAAAAAGAAGAAAAAGGCATGCCAACTCCAGAAGTCTAGACCAGTAGAAGACAAGACCTTGAACTAGTAAGTGTTAGCTGGAAATGCTCTGAAGTCAGTGTTGTACACTAGCTGATGTCCTTTCCATCTCTGCCAGAGCTGCCTTCCATTTATTAACCACCCTCATGTCCTCCACTTGAGATGGCAGCAGTAGTGGAGAAGAATGAGGCCAGCATTTCAAGTGCTTTCTGGCCTCACTTTGCCTTCATTTTTCTCTGCTCAACTGCAGCTTTGGGAATTAGTGGTGGTACATTTCTCTTGTAGAGTGTTAAACATGCTGGGTTTGGGTCTATCCAAACTGAACTCTTGAGTCGTCAAAAAAGTAGAGGAAATATAGGAGCTGACTCTGGTCCTTGAACACGGACACAATTTGGACTTATTGGTCAAACTTACAAAGTTTTACAAGCTGCAGTCAGCTTGTGTGATTGTGATTACAGCAACCCATCAGGACTAAGTGTCTCTTTCTTATCAAAGGTGTTGGTGTGGCAACAGAACTTGGGTCTCTCCTTACTTTATGCTAATATTTTAGCTGTCTCCTTTTTCTGAGCAATACTTAGACATGGTGCATCCTTAGCAAATAAAGTTATTCACAGTAGATTAAGATTAAATGTTCTCCTGTGTGTTGTTTCTCTTTCCTTTGCAGAGCCTCACTGTTGTGACAAGTCCAGTTCCCAATCAGAATCTGGATATGCAGCCCTACGACCTGAGCATTGACATCTACAGCCGCTACATCTACTGGACCTGTGAGGCCACCAATGTCATCAACGTGACTCACCTGGATGGGAGACCCATGGGAGTTGTGCTCAAGGGGGATCAGGATAGACCCAGAGCCATTGTGGTGAATCCAGAGAAAGGGTATGTAGGAAAATTCATGCCCTGGGTTTTGAGAATCAAGTTGTTTTCTTGCTGCAGCTAGTTTTCTGTTTGTCAGAATGAAAAACAACTTTGACATTTGTTAAGATGTCTTGGATTTATAGCAAAAATGTGGAATGATCAAATGAACTTTTTTTTCCTCTAATCATCCTGTTCCAGATACATGTATTTCACCAACCTCCAGGAGAGATCTCCTAAAATTGAGAGAGCAGCATTGGATGGAACTGAGCGAGAAGTCCTTTTTTTCAGCGGTTTGAGCAAGCCCATCGCCTTAGCTGTTGATGGCCAGCTGGGCAAGTTGTTCTGGGCTGACTCAGATCTGCGCAGAATTGAAAGCAGTGACCTTTCAGGTAGAGCAGCACCTTAATTCAGTGATTCATTTGTGTGGTGTGGGTGGGGGGAATGCAAAGAAAGGTGTCATCTTTACCTTTCTGCTGTAAACAGTCTATGATTCTAATCACTCCCTGAATTCCCAGCTAGGGAATGTGCATGATTCATGCAGCATGTCTTTACAGTTTCATGACTGTGATTTGCATTATTAATTGCTACATATGCTATTTACTTTGGTTTCTCACTGCAAAACCTTTGTGTAGTTTCACAAAGTTAGTTGATGAATAAATAGCAGCAGTTTTGGAAAGGGGAGAAAAAGGGTTGTTTTTAAAGGCATTGCTTTTGGCGCAGTAATCTGTCAATCAGAGGAAAGTTCCCTGTTAGTGGAAAAATATGTCCTGCAGAGTTGAAGCAGCAGGTGTCCAGGTTACTTTTTTACTTGTCATTTGGGGTGAAAAGATGTGAGAAGGATAGAGAAGATGTAATATCTCTCTGTCCTCAAGCCTTCCTTTTCCAGCTGTGGAATTCTCTTTGCTTGCTCCCCAAGATTGGTTACACTGCTTGCCTAACCTCCTCTATGAATTCATTCAGCCTATTTCACAATGACCTAACAACATTATACAGAAAAAGACAAATAGAGATTGGTGTTCTGTTGGCTTGGAAAGCTGCATTGTTTCGGGAAAGAGAGAGTCCAGCAAGCAACCAGAAGTGGAGCAAGAGAAGAGGGGAAAATTATATGGTCCAGATTGGGTAAGAAAGACAAATGTCTTTCATTTACTAGCCTAATCCAGAAAACTGCTGGATAAGCTCAGCTGCCTCATGTAGCATCAGTACTAATCGGTGATACAGATTGGGCTGGAAGTTGTTGCTGGAAATGACAGTTGAAAACATAAAAGGAGTTATGACAGCTTGCAGTAATGTTTGTGGTAATGTCTTCCACTTATGACATAGTACCTTCATTCAAAGTAGCAGCATGTAACCCTGTTGATACCACTTTGATTTTCAGCCTTTTGTTAAGTTCCTAGAATAAGCTTTTGGTTTGAAAAACAAATAAGCTTTTTGTTTGTTTTTCCTAGATGATTTGAATTAAAGCTCAGTAGTGTGTCACTGGAAAATTTAGGGTCACTACTGAACTATGATATCATGATTGTTTAGGGTTTTAAAATGCAAGACACAACATGAGTTAGTGAATTATTAAAGAACAAGAACAAAAAAAAGTTCTGTGGTGTTGCTTGGTACGTTCCAAGCTGTCCTAGATCCAGGGTTTGCATGAGTAGAGTAACAGGCAGGAGAATATTAAATGTGCTTTATTTCTCTTTGTCAATTATTTGCCTGAAATTAGGACACCAGACAAGGAGATGGGTCCAAATTCTAATTCAGTCTAGGTTTAATCAGTCTGCTTTTTTTTTTTTTTTTCCTTAAAGATGTGGCTGTTGGATCACCAATATTATGAAGTAAAAGTTTTTACTTTACAAACCATATTTCAAAGAGCATGAAGAAAAAAATGTTCCAAAACCTCCCTTGATTTTGGCATTTACAACACAAATAGATTGCTATAATCACCACGATAAATTGCTAACTGCTAAGATGCATTCCTGTGCTTAGGAATGCTGATTCATAAGCTCTTTTGACCCGCAGAGTAATTTTTCTGCATGTTAGCTTCTTAAAAACACTCAGTCTCTTGCTCTGTCAGTTCTGTATATTCCAATACCCATAAAGACAAGGACAGCTAGAATGCCTTTTATGTGATGTAGTTCTTCTTTTCCTCCCTGTCTTTCAGGCATGAAGTTAGGACTTGGTTATTCTGCCCAAATGGGAGATTCTATTGAAGTTAACCAGATTCTTCACATGATTAAGGGTTTGCTTATGAAAAGATGACTGGAATTAGCTCCCTACCATGGAAACTATTTGGAAATTAGTTCTTCTATTCCAGAATAATTAGTGTGATTTGGAAATGTCTAATGATTCTGGAATTAAGTAATTTGGAAATAAAATGAACTATGGGTGTGTATTTATTTGGTTGGTTTTAAATCTTTTTGTAAATGGTATTGCTGGAAAGGAGATGGTGATGCCAGGAGACAAAGCTCCTCTTAATCATGTCTCCCTTTCATCTGACATTCCCAATAAAGGAGACTAGCACCCTTATGAGTCAGCTTCAGGTTTCATTGTTGGTTGATGGAAGAAGGGATTTAATGTCTCAGGTTAGTTAGAAATAGTCAATTACACTTGAGCACAAATATTAAAAAGAAAGATTAAGACATTAACGGAGTGAGAATATTAAGCTTCAGAGCTTTAGGAACACACTGCAAAATGCCATGCTGACTGAGTGGGCATGGCAGAGGAGGGCATGTACAGACTCCATTTGGGTAGGTCAAGGTTTTAGCTTTTGTATTCCTTCCTTTGTATTCCTTGCATTCTGCCCTATTCTCAACTTAACTTTATTTCTCAAGATGCAGGTTTCTGTTTCTTACGTTTTCCTGACAGAATTAGTCATGTTATAGGAGTTCAATAGATAGTTGCAGTTACTTAGGTTGACTTATATCACTCAGTCTATTAATTTCTACATCAGTCTCGGTATAGCCTCCTTCAGAATTCATCAACATCTTTTCTTAATCAGATCATTGCTGGTGTTGCTCCAAAGTGGTAGTGAGAGCCCAGCCTAGCTGATTTGAATTCCCATGTTTTCCTTCAGTTTTTAACACTTAGTAAATGTTTGGAAGGTTACTTAACTTCTGAGCTCTCTGCGTATTTAGTGAAAAGGAGGTAAATATATTTTTTTCATAGCTGAATTTGTTTCTAAGTCATCATAATTGACATAATGTTGATTAAATCCTCAACAAGCAAAAAACCCTTTCGTACTACTAAACAAAGCAGAGAGGGACAGAATTTATTTGAAGTATAAAATCACAAAGTACATATGTCTTCTTGTCCTATATGGTTATCTTGTGTGGCTAAGGTAAATTTTTCCCCCCTGGTATTCAGTTATTCCAGTATATTTGTACAGAACAAAAATATAAAAACTTATGGTAAATGATTCTATGAATGACCAATGTAAAGCTATTGTTTGCTGTAGCAGAAGTGAAAAATAAGCACAGCAGTGAGCTCAGATGTCATAAATACCAGGATTTATAGACAATTTTTTCAGCTTTAGCTTGTATGATCCTGTTTCAGCTTCTCAAAATTGAAGCATATTCCATGTGCTTTGCAAGTAATTTTGTGCTCAGAATTTGATCAACTCACTGAATATTTGACTGTTAATGACCATATCATTGTGTTAAATAAAGAAAGCATGGATTAAGCCTCCCTCCTGAGCCCTCAGGTTTTGACTAATATTTTTGTTCTGTGTGAGTTACAAAGTCCTCACTGTCTTCAGACAGACTTTAGTGATACCTTTAAAACAACTGTTGACTGTGTTCTGTTCATGTGGAGAGTAAACCATGAAATGTGACAGTCACTTTTGACTGTATTTAATGGCAGAAAATCTGGCATAGAAATCAACAACCACTCTTTAGAGGTGTAAGGCCTGCTCCTGGTGATTGCTAAGGAACTCAGGAAAGTAAGTATTTGCTGAAAAGAAAGGAGCATTCACAATTTAGCACTAATAGCTTAGTGAAGGTAACGTAGCTGAAAGAAAAGAACATGAGGAAGTCAAAAGTGTTAATCTATTCATTCATGTGAGAAGTCCTAATTACCCTGCTTTAATTTGGAATTTATATTTTATGGGTTATCTGAAGCCAATAATCCATCTTCTTATTCCCTGTTGTATGGCAAGACAAAGCAATTAATCTCTTGAAGTAGGAAAGAAGAATAAAAGAGGTACTGATTTCCATCACATTGATAAGAGGTTCAAAAGGCTCATGAGAGATGAGCCCCTCCACTCCTGGTGCTTCTTAACTACACTAGATATTTTTTGAGAACAAAAACTCTCTCCTTGGTGAAAGCAGAAAAAAAAAAAATTATCATCTCTCTGCAAAATGCATTAGTCTTGCATCAGAGGATACAGTATTGCCTGGGTTTTTGTAGTAGACTTACCCAGTAGCATAAAAGTAGTGAAAAATAATGGTATGAGTAGTGTAGGAGATGCTTCTGATAGTTTTGCCTAGTTGAACCAAAACACTCTTTCCCTTCTGCAGGTGCTAACCGGATTGTTTTGGAAGACTCCAATATCTTGCAGCCTGTGGGACTAACTGTCTTTGAGAACTGGCTGTACTGGATTGACAGGCAGCAGCAGATGATTGAAAAGATTGATATGACCGGTCGAGAAGGACGTACAAAGGTCCAGGCTCGTATTGCACAACTCAGTGACATCCATGCTGTGAAGGAGCTCAACCTGCAGGAATACAGTGAGTGCAATCCTGCTTGAGGTGTAAACAGGTCCTGTGAGACTCGAGCCAAGAGACATGAGCCTGTTGTGCCTTGTTGCTGATCAACATCAGTGCAGATGGAAGGGGTGAGAAGTTGGTATCTGTGCTGTTAGGTTGTTTCCTTCAGGCACTTGGCAACGGACTGGAAATCTATCACAACCCCAGCAGCATGTTTCATTGCTGATGACAACTTGACTGGTAGTCCCATCCAGGCACCTGGCATTTGAGTGTCTCTAGACACAGTGGAAATGTCCTGTTATCCCTAATAGAGGACTTTCTGGATCATGCTAGTGCATTGCTATTGGGTGTTCACTGTTTAGGCAAGCACAGCTCTCAGGGCCTGTCACTATCTGTCAATGTCTCAGAGGACTGGCTGTCTTGAAGGCAGAGTGAACAATTTTTGGTGGTGGTGTTTCATACTGAAAATGAATTGACAGAAGAGCAACATTGCATTGCACAAAGGAAGTGTGTATTAAATAGCAATTTGTGTTGATCATGGCTGCACTTTTAAAAATTTTCTGCTTACCAGGCCCTTCCACACACACATGCTTGAAGTGGTGGGAGATGAATGGTTAAAGTAGTGGAGTTGCTGTCATCTTGGAGGAAATAGGCCTGGTTAGTAGGCTGTGTTGCATGCCTTGGAGAAATATGTAGAAAAATGTCTGGGGATGTTTAAAACATCAGTGCAGACTACTACTAGTTTTGTGTGCTATTAATCTCAGTAAGTCTGTCAGGAGTTCCAAGGGAAGTATGTTGTCCTTATTAAACATTAAAATGAAGATAGATATTTATCTAGAGCATGTTAATTTGAGTTTCAGAGATAGAGTAGAAGCTTCAGAATTTATAAATTAGAAAAGTTTATTTTTTAAATGGTCTTTGGTAGAGAAAATGGAGTATCGAATCCAAGATATCTTTTTGTATTACTAATGTGCTATTTGCTGCAGAGAACTAATGTTACCTCACACAAGAAGCAAAATGCTTTGAGTACTGTTCTAGTATGAATTCTTAGAGTAGTTTCAGATCATTGAGAGTTACCAATGTATGCTGTAATTATAGATGTGTGTAAAGGGAGAAATACACACAACAAAATACAATATTAACAGAGATTTTTAATTCATCCTCTCTCCAGGGGGTAGGGGGTAATGAAGAAATTACTGAAAGGTCATAAAATAGTTAGGGATTTCTTATCAGTCCCTGTCTAATTTTTAAAATCCTAGGACAGCATCCGTGCTCTCAAGATAATGGCGGCTGCTCGCATATTTGCATTGTGAAGGGGGATGGCTCTACTCGCTGCTCTTGCCCCGTGCACCTGGTGCTGCTGCAGGATGAGCTGTCCTGTGGAGGTGAGTCCTTCCCAAGTTCTGTTTCACTGAGCTCTTAGCTTCGGCCTTGGGGAGGGTCTCCATCTTCAGGGATGGCTTCTGAACCAGAGGAATGTGACAGTGCACCAGGTGCTGTTACATACCTGTACAGACTCACCTCTTTCCCTCCACCCTCCAGCTAAATTTGCAAGTATTGAGAAGGAGTAAGGGAAGAGGAAAAAGATCCCTAACTGTTGAGTAAGGATTTCTGTTCACCCTTTCTACTTAAGACTCATATTTAAGACTCAAGTTGAATTATTTCAACTTGATTCTTGAATTGTATGATTTTTATTACTTTTTGGTGTCACTTGCCATGTTCTGCCTTTCCAGGTAGTGGTAGATTCTCACATTCTGGCACATTGCATAGTCTGTGCTGTTTTGTACTCCTCTGTTGTCCTCCCCAAGCTCACCCTGTGCATGTCTTTCTGAACTCCAGACCCAGAAAGGCAAGTTGCCTCCTTCCATGGTGATATGGCCATTGTAGCCCATGCCCTGATATCTCCAGGGGTGGGGCTAGAATGGGGGAGAGGACAGGCACTTTGGCGCCACTGGACTGAATGGATTTATTATGCAATCATCTTGCCATTGAGGCGACGTGTGGTCTCACAATGGAACAAGAGCTAACATAATCCAGATATTTTCTCAGAGCAAGTTTAATACCAGGCCAAAAAGCCACAGGAGGAAAGCGGGATTAAAAAAAGGGAAAATATCCACACTTATTTGCTGCCTGAGATTAACAGTTAATGTAGTAAATGTTAAATAACAGCTAACAGATGTGTTGAGGTAGTGGAACTTGACTAGATGGAGCAGTTTGTTTTAAAATAATTTTGACTGAATAGAGCTGTGAAGAGCGCATAACTAGACACTGAGTCACAGTGCATCCATCTGCAGCAAATTACATCCTTTTAACATCTTCTATACAATGACTGTCAAACATGAAAAAGAGGATAAGCCATTGGCTCTGTATACAGTGGTGTGGCAGGAAAAGGTGAGTTGAAGAGTGTGATGACTTTGACTTGAAATGTTACTAAGAGAAAGGTATGACAGTCTGAAGTGGGAAAGGAAGAAAATAATTGTGTTTGGAGTGTGCGTGTTTCTTTATTCCTGTTGTTCTTCATCTGTCAAGCCCCCATTGATGTGAGCCTGCATCAGTCACATTGGCCTCAAGGTCTGCAAAAGTGGCTGTGAACACAGTGGCTGTGGAAGTGACCTTATGATGTGGCATGTTGTTCATCAGCTGCTTTGATATAGGAAAGCAGCTGAGCTCATGCCCTTACCTGTCCTGATCTGCTGTTTGTTCACCTAGATTTTTAACTTCTGTTTGTTTGCTTGATTTTCAAAGAACCACCAACATGCTCCCCTCAGCAGTTCACCTGTTTCACAGGTGAGATTGACTGCATCCCGGTGGCCTGGCGCTGCGATGGGTTCACTGAGTGTGAAGACCACAGTGATGAGAAGAACTGCCCATTGTGCTCTGACAGCCAGTTCCAGTGTGAGAGTGGGCAGTGCATAGACAGTGCCTTGCGCTGCAACGGGGAAGCGAATTGTCAGGACAACTCAGATGAGAAGAACTGTGAAGGTACGTAGCATACTGCCAAGTGGGATGGAAATGTACCTGTCACAGGGACACTGGGATGAGTACCAGCATTATTGCTGAGTAGGATTTGAAAAGATACAAATTTCTGCTAGTTTTTAAGCTGGTCTGTTAAATATAAGTTATTTCATAACACCATACTTTTGTTTCTCTACCTGTGAAGTGGAAATAAAGAGTGATCTCATCAGAGTGGCTTAAATGTTGTCTGTGAAAAGAACTATCAAAAATGGCATGATTATAAGCTCTAAAAACCTAGTATATGGGGGTGAACTACAAAGTGGAGCAAATCCTTGTCATAGCTTTTTGTGTGCCTTGTACCATGTAAAGGTTTTGGGATTGTTTATTTTACAATACCTGAACAAAATTAGCTTTTCTGAGTAAATGGGAGTGAGAGACAGAGGAGATTTCTGGAGACCTCTTCTTCCTGTAGAGCACAGCAAAAGAGACTATTTAAGACATCTTTACAGAGGGAAGTGCTGTTGCCAGCACAATGAGAATTACATTCATTTTGGAAAGGACAAGTTTTGCTGGTAAAATCCAAACTGCCTCACCACTACAAAACATGAAATCTGAGCAAACTCATCCTTTCCCTATTGCAGATGTAGTGAAGAGTTGTAGGGACAGCTTGTATGCTCGAAAGGATACTTCTTTATATTCTTTCAGTGCATTTTCCTTCCTTGTGGAGACTGTTGAAATGTCTTTAAATCAAGGCTATATTTCTTTCCAAAAGATGTGCTCTAGCTCAAACAAAAACACAGAGCTGAAATTCCCGTGTGCTGAAAGGTGATTATTACCTAGCTGAGATGCTGACATCTGAAAATGTGTTGTGCAAGTTAACTTCCCAGTTGTCATTCACCAACTGGAGATGTCAGACTAGGGACTGTTTATCACCTTCAGTGGTCCTGTTGCTGAGAGTATTCAAGTTCATTACAAATCAGAAAAGCCTTTAGTTTAACTTCTTAATTCAGCTGAAGACAAAAAAGTATTTCTGGATTTATGAGAAACAGGGGGCAAGAATATGTGGGAACAGCAGCCAACACCTTGCCTGGAGTACCTTTTATTTTTTTCAGTGTGCTGGCAAAGCTTGAGTTTTCTATTTTGTCCTCTGTTCCAGTTTAAAAACATAATATCAAGTCAACATATTATCTCATGATTGAGGACTTCTCTGGTTTACAGGAAGAGCAAAAGAACATAAAGAAGGACATTTATCTTTCTTAAAAAAAAATTACTATCAGGGTTTGGCAGATTTATTTTTCATAACTTAATTCTTCTCTCTTATAGTAAATGCTTGGGTTTGTAGATTCTTATAGTAATATTGCAATAACCATGTCCTGGGATAAGTGCTTGTCTTCTTAATGGCCTCTGAATTATTTTAAATGAGGATCACTTTATCTTGAAGTGTTCTTACTGTAAGCAGGCAATAAAGCCCAGGTACCAGTGTGCACTATCCTCAACAGAACACTGAGTCACTTGTTCTGCATGGTTCATGTGAGGGACTTTGTGTGCCACTGGCTCCTTCCAGAAATGAAGCTTGCAGCACTCCAAACTCTCCCAAGATACTCCTGATTGTATGCTTTGGTGTCTTTATTTCTTAATGATTTTCCAGAGAAGTTTCTGATGCTGACTGTTGGTGTGGGGGTTCTTTGCAGTGCTGTGTTTAACAGATCAGTTCCGCTGTGCCAGTGGGCAGTGCATCGGGAAAAGCAAGAAGTGTGATCACAACCTGGACTGCAGTGACAGCTCTGATGAGCAAGGATGTTGTAAGTGTACTGTCTGAGACTGGAGACTTAGCTGCAGTATCCAAAAATTGCTTCTCATCTTTCCTACGAGTTTGATTTTATTCTGCCATGCAGAGTGAATTAGTTGTTCCCAGAATTAATGCTTTTCTTCATAACTGCTGTCATGCAATTAATGCACAATGTGGTAGAACAGAAATAACAAAAATAATTAGTATACTGAAGAAGTAGTTTCTAAGGCAGGGAATGCCTGTTACTTTTCTTCTCACTTTTTTTAAATTTTAAAAGAAGTAAAAGGTTTGTTTTACTATAATGTTTATATGGTGAGTTGGTGCAATGTTAAAAAATCTCTTGGCATAAAGCATTCATATATAACTTCTCTGCTTCATGGTATTCTCATCCAGAGAATTAATAGCAGGTGCTTTCAGAATCAGAGGAGCACTCTGTTTATAGAGTAAACCTTCTAAAATTTCTTTTTTTTATCTTGAAAGGATGTAATTCTGAGCTTGATTTCTGATTTGTAACGTGATATCCCCGACCTTGAAATCTCCAGGGCTCTACAAGAAAGCCACTGCCTTCAAAATTCCAACTCGAAAGTTCACTTTCGCTGTTGGTGCTTTAAAAGAAATTATAAATAGGGACATCTTGTCTTGTGTTAGAGATCCATATATCACAGCTAGCGCACAAATAATTTGAAAATACAAAGCCAGAGTTGGACCTTTGATCTTAAGAAGGAGTATTAAGAGATGTTCTGTCATGCTACCAAGTCACTAGTGACATTATCACAGGCTTGTGTAGATCCCTTGTGTATGTTCTCCAAATTTTTTAACAGAGGATGGGAAATTGGCCTACCCAGAATAAGATGGCAGTTGTCACCATCCCTCTTTTACTATGATCAGAAGTCTGTTTACTTATCTCTGTAGACTGTGAGAAGTTGGTTCAAGTGTGGGTTTGGTGTTCAGAGAGTAGGAAATGTGTTGAGGTAAAAGCTTTCAGTAATGTCTAAGATGTAAAACACTGACTGGAACAGAAAAATACTTTAAAGTCTGCCTTTCTTGTCAAATTCATAAGCACAGGCAGGGGGTTGTCATTTACTCCTGGAAGTGTCATTGCTTAGAATTGGTCTTGCAGAGAAAGCCACTCATTTTGACTGTTGAATAATTGTTTTGGGCACAGATTCCTCATAAGGTGGCACTTTCAGGCTGATGCTCAGCTGTATCTGTAACCATAAGGGTGGGTCAGATGTGGAATAGTTTAGGTCATTAAATAAACAGCAGCAAACCCCAAATTCATCGCTGCTGAACAGTCAAGATGGTGCACCATAAGTGATTGTTACACTGCTGAGAAAAGAGAGGGCCAGTCTGTTACCCTGATAGCTGAGGTGTGACAAGAAAAGCACAAGAGGAGTCCCCTGCACAGTGTCATCTGGAGACCTGGCTGCAGGTCTTGTTCATCAAGTTCAAAGGAAAGCTCTGCTTGTCAGACTGAAGCCAAGAGCAGGGCCATCATTCCCCCTGCACATGCATGTACTTACTGCTCATTTCCTGTTATTTGTGATCCGAAAAACCTCATGGCATGTTTGGAGGTCATTTTGGAGGCTGCAGGTAGCCCTTATGGACACTCAGAGTCTTAGAACAGACCTGTCCTAGGGCCTGTTTGTTCTTCCCATATATTAATTTGAAAGTTGTTGTCCGCCTACAGAAAAAGAGGAAAGTGGAAAGATGCAAGAAAAATTGATGTTGGTCTAAACTTACATGGTCTGATTTTCTCCTTTTCCCTTTCAGACACAACAGAGGAACCAGCACCACAGCCCAACAACACCATAGGCTCCATCATTGGTGTGATCCTTACAGTCTTTGTAGTGGGAGCAATGTACTTCATCTGTCAGAGGGTGCTGTGCCCACGCATGAAGGGCGATGGGGAAACCATGACCAATGATTACGTGGTGCACGGACCAGCCTCGGTACCTCTAGGCTATGTGCCTCACCCAAGCTCTCTGTCAGGGTCTCTCCCTGGTAAGTAAAGGGGATGATCCTTGTCCTTGGCAGCCTACAGCTGTACTTGAGGATACTGTGCATCTGTGTACAGGAAATGTCTGCTCCAGATGCAGTTCTTGGAAGCTGTGGGACACCAGGACTGCCAAGGCTTGTTGTCATCCTTCTTTACAATCATGAACTGCTATTTTGCCCGTGCTGTTCATAAGCATTTAGGTACTTAGCAGAACCTAAGCTTAAATAAATGCACACACTGTGGATTTTCTTCTTTTGCTACTAAGGAATCCCCTTTTTGGGCTATTGCAGCACAGCAAATTTTCACAACAGTACAGGGTAAAGTTACACAGAATTATATTAATGGGACTTTAAACATTATGTAATCATTCTTGGTAGGTTTGCAGTCTAAGTTTGTATGCTTGTGAGACTTCTTGCCGAGTCTGTAATGATCAGCCATAACTTTGGTCTCAACTTATTTCATTTAATGATGAACTTTCCAGTACCAGTCCAAGCACCTGATCCTACTGCTGTTTAAAAAGTAAAACTTAACCACAACATGGCACTTCATCTATACGCAGTGCTTCTGTATATATTGATTAAATATGTACTGTAATTTGTGGCTTTTAGATCCAGCAGGCTCCTCTCAGAGCATAATTTGGTTTTAATAACAAGATAATTAATTTTTGGGTTGCAAGTTGTGCTTATACTGCTGTTGTCCTTCAGATTATTTTTTTAAGCTTCCTTTTTTCTGTGAATTGAGCAAGAACTGAATACTGACATACATCTCTGTTCTTCAGGTATGTCTCGAGGTAAATCTGTCATCAGCTCCCTCAGTATTATGGGAGGGAGCAGTGGCCCACCCTATGACAGAGCCCATGTTACAGGAGCCTCCTCCAGTAGTTCTTCAAGTACCAAAGGCACTTACTTTCCTCCAGTAAGTCATTCTGTTATTCATAAACCTTTAATAACTTTTAGGGAAGCGACAGTGTCTTTCTAAAGGTTCATCAATTGACAGATTAATGTTTTGATTTAGAATTCTAGTATAATAAACTTGTTTGGATATGGAGTAAATTATTTTGAAAGGGAAAAGGATTGTCTTTTTCCAAAATGGTCTAGAAATTTTCACTTAATTAAAAAAAGTTGTGAGAGAGCTCAGTGCCAGGAAGAAAGATATTAGATTGAATGTCAGGGGGAAATGAAAAAAATCCCTGTAGATGTTGAGCAGCTCTGCCAGAGAGATCGCCTTTCATTATACTCTGCCATGTGCCTCTGAAAGTAAAACTAAGATTGATTCTGTACAGACCTGTCAAGGAATTAAAATGAAGCTTTGTGTCATGTGTCTTACAAGTGACAGGTAAATAAGTAAACAAGTGTTTTGCAGCTCTGTAACATCCCTCCATCACAAATGTGTAGTGTGCCGCACTAACTGCTGTGTAACAGTTGGTGCCAGCCCTAGAGGGCTCCCTGTGTCTTCATTTCTAGCATCTGTGGTGGTTGGTTTGGGTATTTTTATGGAGCTTGCCAAGCCACTGTCGAGTGTTAAAGAGTCCCATTTTTGGTCAGTGAAGGCTGGAATCTTCAACTGTTGGTTTTCAATTCTGATCAGGCTTTAAATCAGCTTTAAATTAATCCAAATACATGGAGTAAGAACATGCCTGCATAGGGAAGAAATGCTTGCCTTGGCCAGCATGCTGCAATAAGCAGATCAATACTTGGAGACTGCAGCTTGCAGGAGCAAAGATTTGCCAGTGTGCCTTGGGTAGTGGTATCCCTAGTGACAATCTAGAATTGAACAGCTTGCTGCAACTTCACTTCTCATCACTGGCTATGTCAAAATAGCCAAAGCAGTTGGCACTTTTTGAGAAGAGCTTAGTAGTAGCCAATAGGAATGGCAACAAATGGCATTTCCAGGGTCTGCTTAAGAGCTGGGGAATAAACAGGAAAAAAATCCTGTTTGCTGGGAGGGCTATGTATGTATGCAGTCCTTTACTTAAGGTTCCTATTAGACAGTACTAAAAACTATAAACTGGTGTTTTCTCAGGTCCCCTTTGTATATTTCCTTCTTAAAAGTGCCTTTTTTTCTTTCTTACTCCTCAGATTTTGAACCCACCACCATCACCAGCTACTGAACGTTCACACTATACCATGGAATTTGGTTATTCTTCAAACAGCCCATCTACTCATAGATCCTACAGGTAATTACTATTGCAGTAGCTTCTGTCACGATCAAAGCAGTTAGTGTAGAAAATGCAGAATAAAGGCAGCCTCTGCTCTGTAAGAATTACAATCAAGGGCCCTAATTCTGCAAGCACTAAACTGGTGCTTAAATGGGCTCACGAGTATCATGTCACTGCTGCCTGTGTGGAAGTGCAGTACTGTTTGAGGTAAATCATACATTAAGTGGGTAGTGATACATCCCTGGGGTATATTCCTTAGGGGGAATGACAGCAGTCATCACAAAACTAGCTACGTGCCAAAAGAAGTGCAGTGCCATGAGTATTTTAAGCCAAAAAACCTCATCCTGGAGTGAATCCTGCCTTTTTTAGGCTTCTGCCATAAATAATTTGTTACGTAATTATCAGAAATTATAAGAAAATACCCTGTGGAGGAAAAGTTTGCAATATAAAGGCTAATAGGTCACAAGTAACATTAATGTTGTTGTCTAGATAAAGCACAGAATTTCTAGTTTGACACAATAAGGGTTAATATCTGGAAAAGATTGCTAACCTTTTGCTTTATTTTCTCTTGACTAGCATTTATGAGCATGCATTTCATCTTTGTTTGAATGTATTTTTTTTACCTTCTCTGTAAGAATGCTGGAGTTAGTTACAATTTTATGACAAGTTACCAAAAATAGAGCAATAGACCCCTGCTACCCAAGGGTGTAAAGGTTCCCCTCCCAAATCACCAGTAGGTTTGGTCAATGAGAAGAGAGTGCTGTACTTGTCTGAAAGATGTGCCTGCCTAACACAGAGGCTTTGGAGCCTTTGGGTAATGAGGTCTCTGGGGCTGAACAGACTTCTCCATTAGCAGAAAATACGGCCTCTGTTGTGCAGAAGGTCAGACCAGATGTTTATAATGATGCCTTGCAGCCATATGAAAAATCTTTTAAAATTACAAGTAATTTTCTAATGAAAGAAACCAAATTCAGGCACCGGCATGGGTCATCTGCTGGTTAGCTGATGTGACTTTTAGTACTGTAAATTATATTAGGGATGTAGCACAGGGTTTGATTTTTTCCAAATGCTCCCCCACCCAAAAATAAACACTGCTCTTGCTGTTTCTGATCTTCTTTCCTAATACTCTGACTTGACTGTAGAGGAGCTGCATCCCCTCAGTATTCCCAGCTGCTGTGATGCTAGGAGTTGTAGTTACCATGTATTTCTTGTTCTAATTTGTTTCCTTGAAAGTATCTTGGGCTCATTTTAAAAGATGTTTTGTGGTAGCAGCCTTTGAGAATTTCCTCCCAGTTACTTCTCTAAGGAATGGTTCTCCTCAGTGCTATGAGTATGCCAGGTAATTTTCAGTCCTTTTGTCTGGCCTTGAAAGTTAGTATCCAGAAACTGCATAGTGGAAACAGAATTATCTTCTCCATAATTGCAACGCAGCTATTACAGAGGCACATGCACACCAGTGCCTTCCCTGCCCCACTGTATTAGGAGCAACTCTTTCTACCTCAGTTAAGTCCTTAGGGAGCCTGTTGTGTGAGACTTGTCCCCAGCCACCTTTTCTTTCTGTGGCACAGCACAAGCTCTTACAGGTGCTCCTTGCATCTCTGAAGAGGCAGTGCCAGGGTCACTGGAAACATCTGGAGATTGGGAAGCACTTAAAAAACCCGGGTTCTTGACATGCTGTGGGTAGGAGAGAACTTTAGCCCATCCAGTTCCACCCTCTGCCATGGGCAGGGACATCTTCCACTAGACCACATTACTCCATGCCCTGTCCAGGCTGGCCTGGAACACTTCCAGGGATGGGGAACCCAAAAAATTATGGATTAAATTAACCCGAACGTGATAATAGAATACTTACACCAAACGTGGCCTACTGTCCAATTCCAGCAGTTTTGTGCACAAAATTTATTTTCCATAGTTAAAGCCCAACACTGTAGCATTTCTGCAGGGAAGTCTGGAGAGGAGATGCTGTGCATTACTGCAGAGGTTGCCTTGCTTTCTGTTTCCACCTTGGCTTCTTCCCTCTGAGAAAGGTAAAGTGACCCCTTCCCCCCTCCATCTCCCTGCTACAGCTACCGGCCCTACAGCTACCGGCATTTCGCACCGCCCACGACGCCCTGCAGCACGGACGTGTGCGACAGTGACTACGCCCCGAGCCGCCGGGTCCCCGCAGCCGCCACCAAGGGCTACAGCAGCGACCTCAACTACGACTCGGAGCCGGTGCCGCCGCCGCCCACGCCGCGTAGCCAGTACCTGTCTGCCGAGGAGAACTGCGAGAGCTGCCCGCCGTCCCCCTACACCGAGCGCAGCTACTCGCACCACCTGTACCCGCCGCCGCCGTCCCCCTGCACCGACTCCTCCTGAGGAGCAGCCCTGCGCTCCGCGCCCTCTGCTCTGCGCTGTAAATACAGAAGGTTCTGCTGGGGATGGGAGGAGGGGGCCGAGCAAGGAGGAGGACAGTGTACAGTTAAATGTGGGGTGGAGGAGCATTGAAGATATTTGTACAGAAGAATTTAAAAAAAAAAAAAAAAAAGGTATTTATATATTTTCTTAAACAGCAGCTGCTGCTTGTGCCATAAGAAGAAAAATTTTTGTATAAAAGAACCCGGATGTTTGTACAAAATGTTTTTATTTTTGCAAATGGAACACAAAAACATGCCTTAATCCAGTGAAGTGACTGAGCACATAGGGAAATGGAAGAACTGGGATATGTTTTTTGTCCAGTGAGGTGATAGGTGAGTTTTGTCAATACCAAAAATGTTTAAAGTAATTAATAATAAAGAAGTCCATCTCAGAGCAGCATACTGTAGATACTTGGAAGTAGCCAAATAACCTCTATGTTAACTGCAGAGGGCCAGCAACTAAAGTTAAACTTGAAAATGCAGTCAGGACAGATGTTAACCTTACACAAAGGGCTTTGTTTTCTACATGAATACAGCAGTCGTAGCAGTGAATCCAGAAAACCAATTGCACACTTTTTAAAATGAATACACCTCTATTTTTCCTTAATGCATTTAACAAATGAGAGCATTTAAAGCTTTCTCCCTGCTTCTGAAATTTCAATTATTTTTGTTGGGTGTATCTTAAAATTTGGGTTTTAATCCCAGTTAGGTTTTCTTTCTTCATCCCTTCTTCCTGCCCGTGTCACTTAAATTAATGATATTCCTATTAAAATACTGCTACAACTGGGCTGCTGCAAATGCTGAGCTTTCTCCTAATTAGCCTTGTCATGTAGTGATTATCATGCTATACATTACCCTCCTTGTTTGCCAGAATGGTAAGTCTCTGTTTTGTACCAGGTCAGTACGATTCTCACATCATTGACAATGGTAATATGTTTATACCTGAATGATTTTTACTCCCTTAAAAAAGAAAATCTTATTTTGACCTAGTGCCCACAGAATGTCAAATATTTTTATACCACATATAATATAGACAGCATATTTATGATCTATAAATTTAACCATGGATTGTTAGTTTTACTGTAAATGAATCCTTGCAGTACTTTCAGTGTATATTGCTATCACAGTATCCAAATCATATATATAAATATATATATTGTTTTCTCCTAGTAGGAAAGCATTTAACTTTCAGTGGAACAACTGTCCATAAGAAAAATAGATGTTCTGATGATTGGAAGGGGTTCCCCTGCTATAATAACTGCTCATATTTTCTTTGTGTTAGGTAAAGCCAGTTTTTCTCAGTATGATTTTTACATACCTCCTCTTTTGTGTGGTGTGAGTTTAATACTTAAGTATTAACCACTGTGAATGTCAAGTTTTAAGATATTCTTAACCAAACCATTTTATATTCACATCTCTATTTTTGTATATTGTCATATTTAACCCCTTCTCCCATCAGCCTCATCATGGTGATTTTGAAAGGGCAATTATTTAATCAAGTGAAAACATTGTTTGTGTAGTTTAAGGGGCAACCTAGGATATTGTTAACTCCTCTTGGACTCCAGCACAGTGCTTTGAATTTGTTTTGTTGCAGCAGAGCACACAGTATACCTGGTCTTAGATGGCATTGTGCATTTGCACTTTCTTTTGACATCACATCCACTGAAGGTGCTCAGTGCCTTCACAGACTGGCCCTCTGAGTCCTCTCTCTCAAAACAAAGGTCCTGGGAGCTCCTGCCTCCTCACTTTTGAGTTTGGAATGGGGTTAGCAACTTTCCAGCGGCGCCTTTTGGATTTTATTGTTCTCTGTTGCTTCCTTCCCAGCCAGTTTAAGCTAAAACACAAGTTATCTGAAAATATGGCATGGGCTTGCAATTGATGCTGTTGACAAAATTAGTGACAAGCTATTCTTGCTAGCTGCCACTCATCTGGAGTACTGGATCCTCATTTGGTTTCAGCTCCAAGGAAAACTGTGTCATTGGGATTCCATCTGTAATAAAGAGTTTTTCCTACTAGTCCAGAATACATGAGGAATCTTTAAAAAGCCTTGGTGATCTCCAGGCTTTTGCTGTTGGTCTCTGAAGATGGCGTACTAAGGGGTTTTTTGTCCAGCTTCAGTCTAGGTTTCTAGGAATTATGGTAGTTGTTCTTCCGACTCTTCTGGCTCTTCTTTGCTGGTGGAGAAGCTTCCTTGTGTTGTCCAGCAGGATGGATGTTGAGGAGGGTGTTGTGAACTATAAGGGAACTGAAATCCATATTTATGATGGGGGGGAGGGTGGGTGTGTTGGGGTGGGGGGTGAGGCTGGCACACCGATGAGAATTAGAATTTCTCTGTTGTTTACATTTTTTCATGTGCAGCATTCTGTGTGGGGTTCACATGTGGAAACTTGCACTAATGAACTCAGAAGAATATTGTATTGTTGTATCTCAGTCCAAGAGCTTGTACTGCAATGGCAATAGTCTCTCCTTGCAAAATGCTTTTCTCCGTGTGCCGATTTCTTTTTGAAAAACTCCAGGATGGTTGAGCTTAAGGAGTGGTATCCTCTTTCTGGTGCAGCTGGACTGCCTCACTGAGGCATCCCCTTGGAGGGAGCTTCGGGCAGGTAAATTTGTTTGTTAATTATAAGCAAGGATTTGTTCAGAAGAAAGACATTCTCTGCATATGGATTGTGCTGCCTCCTGTGCTGGTTTACATACACATAACCAAACTGAAGTCAGTGGAGTTGCCATAGAATTCCATGTAGGATTTGATCAGGTCTTTCTGAAACAGAGGTTTCAATTTGTGTATCAAATCTTGGGTGCCTCTGGGAGGTTCATGAGAGGGGAAGTGGACAGGCTGGGGTTTTCCACTGAAAATGCCCAGCATGGAGAATAGGCTGTTCCTCATCTGAGCAGGAAGCTGTGATATGATTTTGCAAATGCATGTATTTTCTCAGTAAACTGGAGTAAATTTTTGAAAGAAGTGCTGATCTGTGAAGCTCCTCTTGGGCAGATCTCTAAATTAAAAAAGCATTGATGCAACCAGTACCCACACCTGACACATTCCCAATGGATAAATGCTGTGACTGAACATTTTCTCTCTGTTCCACTTTGGCACTGAGCCAGCTGTGATTCATATTCTCTCTTTCCCTCAGTGAAGATCATCTTTTTTCCTGCTCCTCTGGGTGACTGAGGTATTGGGACCATAGATAGCACAAACATGCCCATTCAGGAGATTGCTGAAGTGGGTTTGAAGCATTAGCATGGAAGGGATCTCGCTGATGGCAAGGGAAATTGTTCCTTGTCCTTCCAGTTAAGCATAAAGGTTCTTACCCTACACCATCAGGTACAGTAGGGCATTAATACAAGGGACCCTTGTGTACTTCTTCCTCTCTGTAGATACTGGGCAGTTCTTAGCTGGCTGTCTGGTGATGGGAATAGCTGGCATGCCCAGTCTGTTGTAACTAAAAAACAAAACAAGACATTACAGCAGAAGTTGTTAAAAACTAACTTTGCATGTTTAAATGGCAGCATTAATGAGATCTAAGTCTACCTTTTAAAGTTATACCTGGCATGTCATGCTGCATGCTGCATGCTGCTCATGGCTTTCTAAGGGGTACTCCTCATTTTCTCACTGCTTTTGGATACCAGGATATTTGTTAGGAAATAACTTGGATGTGATAAATGGAACACATACATAATATCTGCATTTGAAGTAAAGAATGGTTTCCATGAATATAAATTCATGCAACCCGTACACATATGTTAAATACAATATTTACAGTAATGCAAAATATGTAAGTGAGCCATTTGATAGCAAAGGATTCACTTTGCTGTGAGTTGAAACTTTGTGCACTGTAAATTCTGGATTTCTGCCACAGCATTTCCCTCCCACATGCAAATACAAGTGCGTGTGCAGGTACCCAAATCTTTGATAACAGGCACTTACCCAAAGCTGATAATTTTCTCTTCAGCCTCTCTGACTCCCAGAGTGATAATGCTGTGTTGTCCTGCTGTGTCTCACCTACTCTGGCCTCCTTTTGGCCAGGTTGTATGACAGACAGCAGAACACCCAAATCCTTAATGCTCTGTTAAGCCAGGCAGGAGAGGAAGCACATTTCTTATATGGTTTCCCTACTTTTGGAGTCCATTTTGCAGATGAGTAAAGCTCCTCTGTGTTTTGTAGGGACATAAAAAGCAGCCTGCTGCAACCCTAGTATAATTACGGAAAAAATTGCACCCAAACTCCTTGGTATACCAGCCGCTGCATTCAGCTGCAAGTGAAGGTGCATGTGGAAAATCCCTGTCATTCCTATTTATTACACTAATGGGCCTTGGTGGTGTTGTAGTCTTCAGCTCTGCATTGCTTCTCTATTCATTACAGCTCATTCTCTAGAGATGCCTTCATTGGTAAGTCCTAAACACAGTTTAAGCTTTAAAGTAGTTAAACCTGTGCTAAGATAAAGAAAAGGCCACTGTCTTGAATATCATTTCCATTCCTGATTGCTTGGCAAATGTCAGATTAATTAATTAGCACCATTCTGAGGGGAAATGCTTGAGCTACAGAACTCCCTGGTCACACATTCTGTTGGATCAGATGACTTCTTCAAAATGCCTCTTAGAAGAAATCAATCACTTTCTTTTCCTGACCTTTTTGCCTTGAGCATGTTTGTCACACAGTATTGTTAGTGGCAGAATCTGCTTCTGGACCTGTACTATGCAGATTACTTATTAGTTCTGCAATAGAAAAATAACTTGCTTATTGAGTGAAAAAATAATTTAAGCGTTGCTATTCAGAAATTGCTTTCTTAGCAATGAGATTTTTAAAATTGCATTCTGGTGTTGGTATGGCTTGAAAATTAACCTTTAACTTAATGGCAGATGACAGATAAACCTTGCTAATGTGTTGACAGATAAACCTTGCTAATGAGTTAGGAATGAACTAACAGCTTGAAAAGGGTTACAAAACAGTCCATTTCTTTTCTAAAAGAAGTCAAAATACAGTAGTGATCCAAAATTTTCTTTCTTTTCCGTCTTTAAAAATGGAAGGGATTTGTTGCATTTATAGGGACTGGTGATTCACACCAGAACAGGATAAGTAAAGTGTTGGTGTTTTATTCGGGATTGTCCTAGA